GATTGAAACTGTTTATTTAGAAGTTCGGCCTTAGTACGAGGGTCGCTAACTAGCCTACTGCTTTCACGAATTGGGGAAACACCTGAGCCGTCATTCCTCTTTGACTTAATGTAACGCCAAAAAGCTTTGGGGTTATGCTGACTCAGGCTTGGATCCAGAATATTGGTGATGTATTATTTCTTGAGTACAGCTTTCCTGATGTGATTGTCAAACCACGGTAACCTGTTCGGCTTCCTGGCAGTAGAATGAGGGATGAGTTGCTTTGTGATGTTTAGATGCCCAAGCTTAAAGAGTTCCCAGTTATTGTTTACGGAGTTCTGCTCAAATTTATCATGGTCCAGAATGTTGGAATGTAACTGGGTAACTGCTTCTCTGATCGTCGGCCAATCTGCCTTCCTGAACTGTGCGACCGATCTTGGTAATGCGGTGGTGCGCATAGGTTTAATGTTCGCTTCCACCACGACCATGTCATGGTCGCCGATCCACGGGGCAGTCTGAACCGACTTGACCAGGGACCAGTTCGTAAAAAATAAGTTCAAGTTATTTTTTCCTCTGGTAGATTCAAGCTGTAGCTGGGATAGGGAGTAATCCGCTTGGATTTCCAGAAGTTTGTGACGAACGCCTGGATGGTCAGCACCTTGGACGACGGAATTGAGATCCCAGTCGATGCCGCTTGCGTTGAAATCGCCACCCAGGTGGATGGTTTTGTCGTGGCAATGAGGCGGAAGGTTTTGAAGGGAAAGATCGAGCTGTTCTAGCTTCTCAGCGTTTTCATTCGGTGGGCGGTATAAACTACCCATGACCAGGAATTTAGCGTTCTGCATGGTGACTTACCCAGATGATTTCGGCATCGGTATCAGCCACCTTCAGCTCTTCGCAATAGTCAGCGTAGCAAGCTTGGATTGCAATAAACACACCTCCACCATGGAGGGTGCGGTCTTTACGGAAGACCGTATATCATGTAGGAAATTTTTCTGCAGATTGAATCGAGCTATCGAGTTTTGACTAGAAAGCCCAAAATCACGTCAGGTTAAACATACTCCACCGCAGCAACAAAATTTGCCGTTTTGCTCTTGATCCCCTCACAATTGAGGATCATTGTTTGCCAGTTGGTAGGAGTGTTGAACGTGGGTTGGTTGATGTCTATTTTGCTCGTAGGTTCATGGTTACTGGGTGCGGTAGATGAAAATCGCCTCGAAGCCAACTTTAGGTCAAATGGTGAACTAACAAACTGTAGGTAAAAAGCGGAGTCCATTGATGCTATGGAGGTGTCCTGGTCTATCACCGAGAAACGATTCTCAGTGGAAAGCATGAAGCTGTGAAATGAGAATGATGCCACGTTTGGCATATCACACTTCGAGCATATCCAGGATACGTCGGACTTTTCCAGTTCGCTTAAACGGGATGAGCTGTATTCAAGACATGAGTTGTGATACCATATATCACAACTATCGCAGCATATGGCACGACGGGACCAGGATACATTCCGTTCGCAGTTGCCACATGGGTAACATGATGCAAGCTTAGGTGGTCCGGGATTTTCAGCGATATCGCCCGCGAGAAGCAGCAGCAACAGCAATGTAACTAGGGTCACATGCTTTGACGTACTTGATCGTTTTTGAAGAATAAACACTGGTAAACCCGGCCTAAACCGAGTCACGCGCACAGTTACAGCCAGAAAGTTCAAGCCCTGCTGATACGCTGCTGACAATGCAGAGTGAGAAGAGTTCTGACTGAATGTTTGTGTATCATCAATAGTTGGGGGTTTGAGCCTCCCCAAGGCTAAAAACATCGAAACTGATCTGATGTTCAACATTTTCAGATGTAAACAACAAAAGTGGCGGCCGGAAGTAAATCCGAAATGGCGGACGTTTTGGAACTTGTTGGCAGGAAGTTCAATTCAATGGGGTTAGCCGCTAGAAATGAAATGGAGTTCGGTGATTGTATAGTATAGTTTAGTTAGTCTTGCGCTGTGATGCTATTTCTTGCGATGGGTTTCTTGTAGCCGCAGGCTCTATCGTGGTAGCTAAACAGCTACTTTGAGGAAAAGTCACGTACAGAATAAAACTACGAAGAGCTGACGTAAATGCTGACAACTGAGATTTACTTCACACATATATATATATCTCTCGGTAACTCGCTATGCTAGAGGCTTGTTCACATATATAAATGCCTCATTAATTATTCACATATCCGATGCTAGATTCACATATAAAAATGTAGCACCTCATTAATATTCACACAAAACCGGCTATACGCGTAGAACACACAGTAAAATGCGCGTAGAACTCGGTAGTTTCTACACCACTCCTTCATCAACGACGGTCTCACCGTCACCTGATCCAGCATCACTGACACCAGTGACTCCTCCATCCCCAGCGACAGTCTTACTCTCACTCGAACCAACATCACTAACACCAGTGGTTCTGCCGGAGTGACCATCCGTACCATGATCTTCAGTAGCCATAGGCTGGGCAGCTAGGGTTGCGATATAGGCCTCAGCCTTCTTCTCAAAGGTGTAACAGTCCTCGTGAAGGTCTTCCAGGCGGGGAGCATCCACACCTGGGAAGATAAACAGTTCGGCATTGACTGTTGACACGTCAGCAAAATCCTTCCGAAGAACGACCAGTTCCTTCTCTAGGCGTGTCCTAGAAAGGCTACTATCATCCATCTTAGATGAAAGTCTGTTGATAACTCGTGTCAACTTTCCACGAATAATCTTGCGATTAGATCGCAGGAGCTCCTCCTGGTCCGTCATCTTCTTGACGATTTCTTCTTCATCCATCCTATCATCCAATCAATTCATCCAATCTCTTCAGAACTTTGGTATGGTCGAGGAAGGAAAGAAGGCAAGCCTTGGGGATAATTCTTCTAATCACCTCTCATTCATCGTTTTACTGAAGCTGATAATAAAGGTGATTAAAAGAATTATCCCCAAGGCTTGCCTTCTTTCCTTCTTCGACCATACCACCTGGGGACAGGGCAAAATGGGTTAATAATTAGGAGAAATAAAAGGTTAAAAAATGGAAAAAGGAATTTCATAGTATGTGGGTTTGCAAATGATCGTTTTACACATGTACACAATAATCTTTATAATCTTGATGATGTTGTGGTGGAAATATGCATTTGATGTTACTACCTTGACTACAGGGACAGCACAAATTTTACATTATATGGATACAAAAATGTCTAAAAAATCCAATTTCCCTCCAAAATGACTTAAAAGTTGAACTGTCAGATATATGTGTGCTTACAAATATTAATAAAACAATCATATTTTCTGTTGTCAGGCAATTTAAGCAGGGAAAATGCACCTGGGACTGAAAATGGTCAATTACTGTGAAATGACCCACATAAGTAACAAGGCCTGTGTCACCTAATGTATAATGCCCCAACTCGTGGTTCTACTACCTAGAGATGTTCAATTTGTTCTGATATGTTGATCAAAATAGTCGCAACAAACTGATCGCCGGTGGTTATAAACTTACGCGACTAGCGGTTCTAGTACCTAGACACATCTGGCTATTTATTTGATTATATCAACAGACATAGAGCAAAACTTATATATTGGGTTAAAGGGAGAATTGTACTATCAGGAGGAATTTAGTCGAAAATTGTAGAATTGCCGAGAATGAAAATTTTGCGTCCTCACTGCTCGACACATACACTCACTCCCCCGACTTACTATAGAAGTATAGTAGTATTAGTAGTAGAAGTATGACATATGATATATACACTAACATAAAATAACTTGTGATAATAAATAATCCCATCGTAATCCAAAGAGTACGCTTGTACAGCAAGTTCAAACGTGTTCTTGCTTTTATGGGATCATAGGTAAATGGTCAACATTCAATAGTAATTTCAGTGTAATGTTTTTTTGCGGCGTGTCATAGTCAAGAACTAGAACTTGTTAGAAACCGTTAATTTTCCCCATTGCCAATGTATACTATAAGTACTATATGAACAATGACAAGATATGTAATTCAACTAATTACAAGTGCTAATAAAGTTTATCTCAGATCCAAATTAAGTTAAGAATAACTTACAGTGACGAAATTTTCGTCCATCTCTCCAATAGACTTCCTGTGAGGATTAAATGATGTATTAAATGTTGGCCATCTATGCCACTTAAATATAACCATGATTAAAGTAATTGTAATTACAGTATGACAGCACCTCAACACTTGCAATGCTACCTCTCAAGTTTGTGTACAAATTGTTTGCGCCTTTGACAATAACGAGGCATTTGTCAAGGCTGACCCCATGCGATAACATGGTCAAAGTAACAAAAACAACGTTACACTATGAAATTGTGTATGCTACTCAGAAATAACATGCAATTTAACTTTGGCTTTTTAGCTTTGGTAGTTAAAAAGACTGAGTTGTGGTGCGCATGCGGATAAAAAACTTTACGCCAACATAGCAGATGTAGGGTTGACTAATTGTGGCTTAATTTATTCTTTTGCGCGAATGCGTTGAGTACATTCGGTAAACTAAAAGGAATACAAACATAAAGAATTGTCATTATAACGAACTAAACAATTTTGACATGACTTTGCAGCTAACTACTATTTAGCCTAGTTGCCGTAGCCTAACCAATGAGAATTTCATATATAACAAAGACTTACAAATCATTCGGGCCACGTATTTTTTATTTTTTATTTATTTATTTAGGCAATTATCCATCATAAACAATACATAGCATACTTTTACAATAAAATTCTGAATTTATAAAATTGGATAACTACTCTAGCATACAAATGACATCGTACAGTTAAATTCACAGCTAGCATACAAATGACATCGTACAGTTAAATTCAAACTTACTGCTTTGCCCGGACATACAACTACTTTTACCCTTGACCTTTACATCATTAAATAACAGTGGCAGATACCCCAGACCATGGTCAAGAACAAACAGATTCTTTCCAGACAAACAGTAAATTAATTGCTTGTTCCCAGAGCGTTAATTCCAAACAGATATACCATGCTATAGGTATGTGGCAAAAAAAAAAGTTAATGGATTTCAATGAAACTGACATCACTGTAAAGCTCTTGGAAATACCTTTCCAATGATACCAAGATCAACTCTCTGTGACAAAAAATAAAAAAGTTATACCAATTTAATTGACCCCCAATTCGGCGTTTTTCGGTCATTAACTGTAATGCTAAAACAACAGATAATGAATTTTGACTTGTGACCCGATTCATGACTTCACTCAAAAGCCTATTACTTCCTTATTTCTTGACCAATTTTCATGATCTTGGTATCCTTAGAAAGCTTATTCAAAGCATAATAAGAATAAAAGGGTTAATTGCTATTAAATGAGTTTATTATTTAAGTGTTATAAAAAACAGGGACAGAAGATTTTATGGGTTTTAGCGCAGCAATTCACAAGGAAAACCAGAATAAATCATGCACGATTCCACTAGAAACATGAAAAAGTCATCAAAAATGTGCATAATCCAAAATATTTTACAAGTCACAGATTATCGAGTTTCATCCAATATAAACAAAAGTTCAACAGAAAAGCAAATCTTCACAAATGCGGTCGGCTGCAAGAGCCAGTTTCAGAATTTCGAAGTCTTCTGCATCCTCATAACTTCCATCATCAGCCCAGTATGCTATCTTATAACAATATATGTTCCCTTTCCTCTTTTTCAGTTTCTCAATCCTTCCAGACCAAATCGTCTTTTCATTTGTTTCCTCATCATACCAAGTATGACAGATGTTTCGACCAACAACAGTCCCCTGAAGAATGCCAACAAGATCTGAATGAATATCCTCAGCTATTTCAGGGAAAACAGTTTTTAAATTGCCAGCTTCAACACAGTTGAGTTTCTTTTCAATGTTTTTTCTTTCTTTCTCGGTGATTTTTTGCCTCTTGTTGGCTGCCCTCCTTGACAATTCCTGTCGAACCTCACTGTCCTTTTTTCTATTCACTGCCCTCTTTTTGCGTCCCCTCCCAATTGCCCAAGTCACTATCTTCTCCCTCTTTTCAATGCCCATGTCATCCAACCATTCAACAACTTTGTTCTTTCTTCCCCTCATCCGTGCAACAAGAAAGTCAAGATTCGCATGTTTTGCCCTCTCCTTTCCCGCACTGAACATCCCCATAATTTCCTCCGAATCGATGTTGTGACATCTGGCTGACTGGGTCTGTTCACGTAGCTGTTCTGTTACATCCATTTCGAAGTATCGATGATATTGTCTCTCAATAACCTCAATAATAGATTTCAGGCAAGCGGCAAGCATGACTGAGAACATTTCAGTCTTAGGAGGCTGTATCATCAATTTATTCAATGTTAAGTCATCATCTTTAAGCTCTCCCCCAAAGAAATCTCTTGTCTGCTGGAGAATGTTCAATGGAGCAGAAGCTATGTCCCGAAGACTTGAGAGCACATTCTTCACTATCTCAACGCCATCCATATGACTGATGCTGTTCTCTGCTGATGTGTAAAATGTCTGCATCCATGGGCCTGTCAACAGTTTGCCAGTCAGACCAAGAACCTGCATCTCGGTTAGAGCTGTTTTACTTGCGAAGTCTTTTTTCAAGCTAGAGACAAGGCCACCACAGGACAGAGCACCAGTGCTAAAAAAATTTAGCAGAAGTTCATGATGTTCGAATAACTTTCCACATATATGGAACAGTATATGCAGGCGGTTTCCTCGATATCTGGGGAGAAGACCTCTCGGTAAGTTATTGTCGTCAAGAAACGTTTTAAATCCTTTAGGATCCCCTTTCCCATCCTTGTAACGCAACTTGTTTATCTGCAGCACAAGATTCCCTATGATGGAGTCATTTCCAAACAGATTACCATTTTCTGTTTCCAGGGATTTGAGAGTAGACCTGCACTTGCTAGCAATGGTATCAAGGGGATGTAGGTGGCAGTTTAGTTCATTTAGTGTTTTTCCCCATGACTCATTGACTTTTCTGATTGTGGCCTGATTAACAACAGCACGGTCATTCATAGTGTTCGAAATATTACTGATGATTGTCGATCGGCAATGCTGGTATTCCTCTTGGTGATAGTCAGAATGCGTATCAGCCAGGTGATCCACGGAGGCCGTAATGTGGCCATGGTAGTCCTCTGCTGTCCCTCCTGGCAACTCGTCTACTGCTACCAGATCACACTCTGATATTGTGTTGAAGTGGATGCTATTAATGTGTACCCCCTCTTGGGTGGTCGCATCGAAACCTAAGGTAAGGTCTTTCGTCTTCATTGCAAGTTCTGCACTTTTTAAATCTGCAATGCAATCCAGTTCCCGCGCCATTTGCTCCACCGTGGTCCTATGGGGGACTGACGTCAATACCTCACCATATCGTTTTGCATGATTCTGAATGAGATTGGGAATATTTTGGGTTGGCACCTGATTCACGATTGAATCATAGACCATCATACGCATGTTTGTCCCGTAAGTTTTACCATCCTTTTTTGTTTGTTTTTCCTCACTTTTTTCCGTAGAATGCACTTCCTCCAGCTTTTCACGCAGTTCACAAATCTCATTTTCATAATCCTTAACCAGTTCCTCTTTCTCACTGAGCTGCCTTTTTACTTTCATATGTTCCTCCTTTGACACAGTTTCACAAACTTTTCTGTTCTTTCGTTTTCCTTTATTTGACTCCTTCAACCGTTTATGCGTGCACTTTAAGGCTTGCAATTGTTCTTCTGCAGTGCCCACTTGATTTTGTTTCAGTTGCTTTTTGAGAAGTGTAATCTTTGCATCCTTAACTTTCATCGAGTCTTTGCGGCGTGCGAGGGCCTGGTTCATGTATTTCAGTTCTGTTACCCTCTCAAGATCAAGTTTAGCTTTTAGTTTCGCTACTTTTTTAAAATATCTCTGCTTTTGCAGACTACGTTGATTGGACAGAAAATCAAGTCTCTTTTTGAAACTTAGTTTGCGTGGTGTTAGAAAACCATGACGAAGATTTGGAGATGGAGTAACACTGGCAGGAGTGAGTAAGGTGTCACATTCTGCAACAGCGGCATGACTCGGCAAGGTGTCACTCGAAAGATGTGGATCAGTTGTTGCACACTCAACGGAAGTGCTCGGCTGAGGTTCTGGCTGATGCGGCTGCATAATCACATCTGGCGTGTCACTGGAAGTACTTGTATCCATGGGCTCTGTAGGGATGATGCGAACTACGAATGATGTAAAATGCTCAGCACAAAGTTCCACAAATCTTAGCTTGTCAGCCTCCCGTCCAAGATTTTGAAACGACTCGAACGAATTTACAATTGACTTCATGGCATTTGGGTCAATGTCACATGGCACTGGGAGACTTGAACATATTGCACGGATCGTCTTTGCTACCGATTTTTCATTTTCGTGAAAGAGGTAAAGCACGTGGCCAATCTTCAGGTCCCCGTCTTCAGGAATTTCACTGTAGTTGTCAAGCAGGTGCTGGCGGGCAACTCCAGGTTTGGCTGGTGGCGGTGCGGAACGTTTCTTTTTCTTCATGATGATGGCTCACCTATTAAAATATAAAAATACAAATGCATGAATACATTTGTGTATTATTCTTGCCGGGCCCTGATGTTTTAATTTATTTTTAATTTAAGGATAAGCCTGTGTCCTAGAGTTTTATTATATTATATATTTTATTGTAACATTGTAGTATTCATGAATGTGAATAATAAAGTGTCTTTCAATATATATAAAAAAAAGTATTATAATAGTTTGAAATAATATCTTACTCGCCTTCTACGAAATCATCGGTGGTTTTGATGAGCAAAAGGAAAACCAGAATAAACCATGCACGATTCCACTAGAAACATGAAAAAGTCATTAAAAATGTGCATAATCCAAAACATTGTACAAGTCACAGGTTATCGAGTTTCATCCAATATAAACAAGAGTTCAACAGAAAAGCAGATCATTGGCCCCAGGGGTTGACCCCCGGGGGTGACCGCCTCCATACTCGTGGGTGCACAACTTCACCACCCATACTATCTGCCTAACAAGTTTGAAGTCAATCGGTAAAGTAGTTGCAAAGTTTTAGTCCGGATAAAAATATCTTAATTTGGCACTGTTTTGACCCCCAGGGCTTCACCCCCGGGGGTGACCGCCTCCATAACCACGGGTGCACAACTTCACCACCCATGATACTAACCGCCTACCAAGTTTGAAGTCGATCGGTAAAGTAGTTGCAAAGTTTTAGTCCGGACAAAGATCTTAGAAGAAAAAAGAAGAAAAAATGAATAAGAAAACTCCAACAAAAACATAATATGTCTCCTCAGGGACCATAATTATTATTAAAATCATAATAAAATCATAATCAGCTAAAAAAGAAAGGTTCAATCCAGTTAAGTCCATCTTATCTGCAAAAATCACTCATCAGAGCTGAGCAAAGCTTAGTAAATAAACGGCTGTAGCCAATCAGGTAGCGCCGTTCTGGTCACGTGACCCAGTTTTCCCAGCTGGGTATATATTTAATAATAAAATTGGTCTTACAAATCTCCAATCATCGGCTTAATTAAGACAACTTTCCATTAAATTTTATGCAATATGTATTTTATAAACATTAATCTATGCGAAAAACCGCATTTGATTCATATAGACGGCTAAATCACTGAATACTGAATTAGATTTGTGATGGAAAAAAATCGATCAATCCACCTGTGCAGTGTTACCATGTACTATGGATGACCCAAAAAACAATACTGCTGATCGGTCAATTTTGATGAAATTCGCCAAGGTGATGGTGAAATAACTAAGGAAAAGTATTATAATAGTTTGAAAGAATATCTTACTCACCTTCTACGAAATCGTCGATGGTTTTGATGAGAAAAATCTTCGGTAATTTCGGATTTGAAATGAGCAGTTGAAGACGATGATTCTTGAAAACTTTGAACGCTAAGCTAATGACGAACGTGTGTACTACGTCATCAAACCCACACAGCTTTTATTATGTACAACACAAGTACACAAAACCAGTATTTTTGACGAGGGCATTTCCCCATCCAGCCAACCGTGATCAAAACGAAAACGAGGCTGCAGACGAAATCTGTAGAGCGTGAATCGGGGGATTGGCACATACCTACTTGGTACGGTCCGGTATAACGGAACGTACCCTGGTACTATCTAAATGGCGGACTGTACCTCGCCTACTCCACTAACGAGTCTAGGGAGTCAAGTTCAAGTTCAAGTAAAATTTATTTTCATCGGTATATCAGGCCGACCTAAAAATTACCATTGGTTCGGGTCACCCCCCCCCCGACTTCACATTTCGGAGTAATGAAATGTGCGACTGCAGTCACTTTTAGAGGGTTTCAAGAAAAAATAAAATTCAAAGATACCGCCTGCCGATCATACATATTCAAATATCCGACTCTTGTCATTTTATTTACCTAAGGAGAGTTCCAAAATATTTATAAACAGAACTTCGTTGGCGCGAAGTGAAACAGTTCCTACCTATGTTTCCTAGAATCCTAAAACGTGAAACAGTCGTATAGAGCCTGGGCCGGGCCGGCCGGATACTTCATAAACAGAGCCTGAAGGTCGTATGACGCAGCGGCCGGCTTTGATGTACGCGATCGATCGCGTACTATATAGTATACGCATGCTATCGTGCTATACGCGGCCGCAGAGCCGTTTACACTTCGGTTACTCGCTTGTTCAAAGGGCCGATTAATCGAGCTCCGTGTTTGGAGCGATTCCTAACACTACTATCCAGATGAGAGACCGGAAATCTCATGATGGTAGGCCAGAAATCTCATGATTTTGGTCCACCAGCACACCTTTCCATAAAGTATGTGTTGACGGACTCTGAAGTTTTGTAACCTTATTCCTTTGTGGGTTTTTAAACCTGGGTTTGTCAAATAGGATTTGGCCCAGATTTCCCCCAAAAAAATACTAGCACAGCAGAAAAGTTAACAATAACAGCAATCCTAGCGCTCGACTATTCACTGCAGCAGAAAAGTCAAGACGAATCCTAGAACTGCAATCCTATAGCGCTCAACTATAGTCAGGCTCAAAATCAGGCAATCGCATGAAATGATGCCGAAACGCAAGCAATAGCACAAAACGCATGAAATAGCAGAAAAGCAGTAACCCCCAAAAAATCCCGGGCATCGCCGGGTAGCCCAGCTAGTAACATATAAAGCCAGTGGAGATAACATGAGTTATTTATAAATTTTCAATTCCAAAATACAGAATGTAGAAATACCATAACAGCATCTTCTACTTGGGCTACAGTCACAGTGCCGTCAATCCTTCTGATGCCAAAGTGAGCCAGCATCCTCTGTACTGTTCGATGGCTGTAAAAAGACAACTACGTATTTTTAAGGCTAATATTCAAGGTATATTAACTGCTGTTTTCAAATTCCTTATTTAAAATTACATTTGCCAGTGTATTTCTAGTGGGTCACGTATAGAGATCATTTTATACACATCCATGTCCATGAACACAGCTCTTCTTTAATTATAGTTAAACAACATTAAACAATTGTTCTGTGTGTATTTTTACAGTGGGTCACTGCTATACAGCAGTTGCTGCATTACGCTCATAGCCCTTGGTGTTTTTAAAAACGATATTTTTAAGGAAGATTGAACCACAAATTTTGTATGCAACATAATTTAAGCCAATTTCAACTGAAAAGGAAATAAACTAGAAATAGACTAAAAATAGAAACGGCCTATTATGCCCCCTTTTAAGAAGATTTACTACTAGCATATAATTTATATATATATATACATACTAGCGGGATACCCGGCGTTGCCCGGCGAAATCAGTGGCGTTACTCAGCTAGTGACCGCTTGGTTGAAAGGTAAAAACCCCCAAAAATCCAACTATCTATCTATCCATGCATCCGTCCATGCATCCATGCATCCATCCCATTCCATGCCATGCCATCCCATCCCATCGCACCGCATCCCATCTCATATCCCATCACATCCCATTCTATCTCATCACATTCAGTGCCATGCCATGCCATGCCATCCCATCCCATCCCTTCCCATCCCATGCCATCCCATCCCATCGCACCACATCCCATCCCATATCCCATCCCATCCCATCCCATCTCATCACATTCAGTGCCATCCCATGCCATGCCATCCCATGCCATCCCATCCCATCCCATCGCACCGCATCCCATCCCATCCCATCCCATCGCATGCCATCCCATGCCATCCCAAACCATCCCATCCCATCCCAAACAGTAAAAAATAATAAGAAATCAAAAGATAAAAAACATTAAAAATAAAAATAATTAATAAACTAAAAAAATAATAAATTAAATAAATAAATAAATAAAAAATGAATTAAAAATTTAAAATAATACATACTAAAGAGGTAGGTAAAGGGAAAAAAGGAAAAAAGAGGAAATAAGTTCCCCTGCTGGGACTCGAACCCGGAATCTACGTGTAGCAGACGGATGTTGTGTTGATGAGCCCACTGCGCCATCACGTTTAGACACCATGGATTCAGACGTGATATTGTGTACACGTACGTACGTGACCGCCATCTATGATCAATAGAATTTTAACTTTTTAAACTTTGTTTCAGCCAGAACCACCCTCCCAGACGTGCTGATCTGAAAATATCTTTAGTTTCCTCTAGATACTGCGGGGAGTTCTCTAGTTATGCGCGAACACACAAATTCGGCTGAACAACTTTATATATATAGATGATATATATGCAACACATATGTGTTCACTTTGAACAGTACAGTGGGAATTCTTTCTCGACCCACCAGGTCAGTTCTATATTTGAAGAGTTTCATTGCAAAACGAGATATATCAATTTTAGCCAATTTGAGTAAAATGGAATTTTTCATAGTGAACAGAATAGAATGAAGAAATCAAATCATTTCAAGTTTTTAGACTTTATTCAAGTACAGTAATACTAAAACATACAACATTCAAAATAAATCTGAAATTTTAAAATTTTAAGAAAATTCTAATTTTGATTTTTTTTTTTGGCAAAACGCTACATATCCACAAGACTAATATTGCAAAGTGAGACATATCCAATGTGTCCTGAAAAGGGTTAATAAATCTGCTTTTTTTAATTGACTGTTTAAATCTTGTTACTGATCATGCTGATAAGTTAAGTTAAGTTAAGAGTCCATAGAAATGTCCTTGTTGAGGGGACTGGGGTACCGGTAGGTCCTCATCACTTTGAGCACTGCTATTGAGTTGCTGTTTCTTTTGAAGCTAGCCAAATTCAAATATTTTCACTTTGACTAAAGAAAAAAAAATATTGCATGGTAAACCCAAACTGTCATTGGCATCACTGATATGAGGTTTTATGGTGGGAGGCCATTGGTGTCTATTCAGATGGTGAAATACTATGAAAAATCACTCAAGTCAGTAAACCAACTCATTTCCTCAGTTTTTTCAAAACACCCAGCTCTAATGAATCATACTGGTAAGGGACCACCCATAAAGTACATATGCATTGAGGGGGAAAAGGTCTAAGAATTATTGAAATTTCGGGGAACCTGGGGATGTTTGGGGTGGTGTACTGGCCAATATGATTTATCAAATTTCTTACTGAGTCATTCAAACCGCATAATCATCATTCTCCCTTTCGGAATCCTCGTCGCTGCCAGCTTCCATGTTTCGATTATCAGCACTAGCCAAAGCTCTGTCATAGAAGTCCATGATATGACACGTGCCCACTATTAAATCACTATCGGTTCATTATCCTGTTAGGTTAGAGGATGTGACACGTCATCGGCCGACCAATCGGAGTGCCCTCAGCTCGTGCACTAAAGCTCACGCAATGTTTTGTGGTCGCATTATTTAGGCTGGCTATCGTGTGTTTCAATGACATGCACATGGAGATGGGTGGGTAATTACTGGTAATTTAAAACGAATTCTTTCAATGTATGGCCCCCATTCGACTGCGCGACTGTTTTTCAGGCACAAATGTGGTGTCGGTTAGTAAATTCGCGATATTTTTTTAAAACGCCGGACAACATATGTCATAACTCTAATGGTGCACAGCTACCTAGCTTTAATATTGCCACTCGGCCGAAAACGGTCGAAATACTATTTTTCAGCTCCTGAAATTCAATTCTCAAGTATAGGATCTTATGGAGGATTTAATAGTGGTCTGTTCTCATATCCTGAGGGGCTCCTATTTCAGCCAGAAGCTTTCCAATGTCAGTCTTTGTAATAACTGCTGATGATTATGGATTTAACCACTTAGGACAATAATGTACACGACAGATTATGTTTGTTAACCTCGCTGGTCAGCCATTTATTCCAAGAGAGCTCTTCCCACAATGCAACTGTTTGAACATAACAATTAGAGCAATCATTGTGTGATAGCAGAATACTACAGTCTTTTTTAGCAACCTTGACAGTTGACTCTATCTCAAGAGGCCCTGGTTGGAAGTTTCCCCACTGCTTTCCGCGTTTTAGGACCGTATGGTAGCAGTACTCCGCAGCATACGTAGTTTTGTAACCAATCTTGTCACTGGTGATAGACAGCATTTGGGCATTACTCAACTTGAATGACCTCTGGGATTGGACAAAAGCCTTTGTCTCAGATTTGAAATCGAGTGCATCCCAATCATTCTTATAGATGTAGCCATTACCATGCTTACGCAAGATAGCACAGTACTCCTTGGGGTGGAGGATTGTATTCAGTTTACGAATCATCTGCTCAATCCTACCAAACACTGTCTGCAGGCAAGAAACTGTGTCCACGGATGGGGAATGTGAATTCTATTGCCATGCCAGGAAACGCAGATTTTCGTAAGGCAGACAGCATGGACAGGACATTCATGTTCTTATTCTGCCCAAAGCATGAATCGCTGTAGAGTCATAGTTTCTGCTTTTGATGCATTAGACCATTTAACCGTACTCGAAAACAGTCATCCAATGCCGAAACAATCATGTTTGAGTCCTTTTAGTTCTGGTGCTCCATCCAAACATACAGGTGGACATCATTCCGATTCTGTTCACTGTCTTTGCCATGATGCACCACTGCCCCGAATAGATAGAGGTAGAGTTGTCTCGAATAATATGCCTCATGCATCATGTCGAAGCAAACACTGACAGCTGTAGGCTCGACTATTCTCAG